CTTTTTACTTTGTTAGGACTCACTTTCAAGCTTCTCTTAAATATCCAGAATCAGGAATTCTACCAACTTTTAAATATTGGACAAGCAATACACGGGGCTGTACAATTGAAATTAGGGCTGAATTTCTGTTCTTATAAATGGGGACCTACCAGTCAGAACAGATACCTACTCTAGTGCTGAAGGGTCTGGGGAGCCCCACTATTCCAAACTCATTGCCCCCCCCATTTGCTGAGTCCTGGGATATCCAGGGAGGAACTGGGGGCCATTAGTTACCAACTCCATGGTCTGCCCTACAGGCACATACTGTCTGAAGGAGACAAAAAGACTACCTACCATATTTTCCCTCTAGGTTTCAGAAATGGAAGTCTGTATTTTCCATGTTCAGCGGTGCTCAGTGAGCATCTGGCCTCCTCCTAGCTCAGTCCCCATTGCCCACTACACTTAACCACAAACCTGCATTCCCCGTGTTATAATCAGGTGCAATTCCAGCACTAGAGTGGCTGCGGGAAACGAAGAAAAGGAGAGACTCAAACTGAACTTCCGCAGGCTGAGGACATCAGTAAAAAACAAGACTCGCACTCAGAAGGCAACCGAGGCAGGGTGACCAGCTCCTCTGCTGACAGTGACGGGAAACGGACAGCATTCCCGGGACACGCCGGGCTTTGTCTCCTGCTGCCCAGGAGAGGGAGCTCCGTGGTAAGAGCTCTTGCAAGGACATTCTGGATGGAACCGGACTCGAGGGAACTATGCATCTGCCAAAGATAAAATGATGGAAGAGGGCAAAGGGTCCCGCGTAATACACTCCGGAAGCCTTTCAAGAAACTGTGCTTGTGTCAGCTGGGTTGTGGGAAAGCCATGACAGACGACGCCGTGCAGCCCAGCGGGACTGAGGAAAAGTCAAAGCCTTTAGCTTTATCCCAAAGACGAAAATGAAAGGTGTTGATAATGATTCTCTGTGTAAGACATCTGCGTTTGTCATACAACCAATTTAAGGGAATGTACTATTCCATTGTTGTTTCATAGGAAACTCATTTCTGAGTCCCAGCCACAAGGAATAGCTAAATATTGCCAGGGCACGAGGTTTGCCTTAGAACATTGATCTCTCTCTCTCTCTCTCTCTCTCTCTGTTAATCCCCACCAGCCATAGATTTTTATTATTATTATTTTTTAGAAAGAGTGGGGATTTTTTTGTAGAAGGGAGGGGGAGGACAGGAGAGAAACATCGATGGATTGCCTCCCACACCCCCCCGCCCCCCGACTGGGGCTGGGGATGGATCCTGCAACCAGGATACATGCCCTTGACTGGGAATCGAACCTGAGACCCTTCAGTCTGTGGGCCCCTGCTCTAACCACTGAGAAAACCAGCCAGGGCATTGATATGTCTCTTGACTTCAACTAAGACAGCTATTATACCAACAACCAAATTAAGAAACCGTGACATTGTAAAGCCTTTGGAATGGTAAGTTGTAAAACAGTAAGTAAATTGAATTGCATATGGGTGCGATTCTTATACATTTTCTTCCCTTCCCCAAATGGCCACATCACTAATACCACCACCAAAAGGGTTGGGTCATTTGCACATGCTTCTGCCACATATCCTGTCTTATAATCTCCAGGGACCTTTAGATAAGGTTAAAGGGATGGTGGAGTTGAGGACAGAAAAAAAAGATAAACAGGACGTTCTCTGTGGATAGAGACTATGCCTGGCTCATTTTTATAGGTAGAGAGACCAGGCACATCGTAGGTCCCTGATAATCACACTGATAGATGTGCCCAAGGGTGGTTCTAGTACCACATATTCTTCCAACCCGTATATACTCCCGGAAACAAGGGAAGGTTAAGTAAACAGAAGTTCTTTATATTCAGAACCTGGGACCTTGATGGCTGATTTATGGAACCAATCTCCTCCCAGCAAGCCACACAGATTAAGTCCGACGAGGTGCCAAATATTTATATGTGGTTTATATTGAAGCCCCTCCCAACATTGTTTGAAAGAACAGGGCATTTGTGGGAGAGCAC